ATTAATCAAAATTATATAGCTGCTCATCTCACCAAGGCAACTAGGTATTGTATTTTGCAGTCTCTGGATATGAGGAATGCCCTAAAAGAGAGAAGACTGACATACATACATACATACAATTTCTTATTATATTTAAGAAATTTAATATATAATTATATATTATAACTGGATATTTGATAGGATATATTTACCAATTGTTTAAAAATCCTTTGCTATTAGTTTATTGATATGCACTGTCAAAAACGGTTTATAATCTTGGGGAGAAATAGATGGTTAATGTAGGAGAAAGCTAAGTCTGAAGAGTCTCTTTGCATACAGATAGTCTGCAACTTATAACCAAAATTGGCACCAACATTTCCATTGCTAAACAAGGCAGTTGTTAAGTGAGTCTGATTGTATGACCTTTTTTGCCAGAATCATTGAGCAAATAACTGCAGTTAAGCGAATCACTTGATCATTAACAAATCCAGCTTCCCCCCAAGACTTTGTTGGAAGCAATTTGGGAAGGTTGCAAATGGCAAACACATGACTCCAGAACTCTGCAACCTTCATAAATACATGCTAGTTATCAAATGGCCAAATTTTGATCATGTGACTATGGGGGGGGGATGCTGTGATAATTGTAAGTATGACCAGTCATAAGTCATTATTTTTTCAGTGTCGTAGCTTCAGTCGATAAATGAATGGTTGTAAGTCAAGGACTACTTGTAGTGTCAAGCATATTTCCTTCAGGCTGCAATTATGAAGCACTATTTCATACTTCCCATTAAGCCTTGGAGCATCACTTCAGGGCATTGTCAAAAATTTACATTGCCCAGTGCCTAAGTCAAAGCAACTGCATTGTTGAGCCCTGAAGATGGTTCCGGCTTTGTTCTTGCTTTCTCTAGTTGGGAAGATTTGAGAGAAACTATTAACTCTGTCTTGAAAAGACCATGTCATGCTTTGCTAAGCAAGATTTTAAAGCTGTATTTACCTATATTAAAATGATAGCACTGGAATATTCTATAAAGCATGATGTCTGGATTCATTTTAGCTTAGAATTCTAAATTTAAAAAACATCCTTGATGCATTGAAGAAGGAAGGATGTGATCCTTTTCAAAAAAAAAAAGTTTGCCAACCTTCCTGTTATTTCTACTAAGATATTAGATATTCCACTTGATTTTGTTTAATTTACACGTTTGAGTATACTATTCTTAAGCCAGATATATATTCACTTAATTGTCATGCTATCCAGCCCATGTTTAACTAAATATTTTGTATCACAGGGTAGTTTTTCAAGATTTGTTCTTGACAAATCCATTTTGACATCTGGTAATCGTTATATTACAAAGTGCACAGAGACTGAGCTCTTTATGATCTGCTCTAAAACCTTCCTAGTTATTAGTGTCAGCCAACCTTTCTATAGTTTCTCTCATCCTCCTATTTTCCCATTTTAAAGACAGGAACATCTGCTCTTCTCTCATGTCACCAATTCATAATTTGAATGACAATTGCTCTAAAACTAGTATCACCAAATGTCTTTAAAGCAGAATCAGTATACAGGTTGAAAAAGCAGAAGTCATATATTATGAAGGCCTGAATTGTTGACAAGCTCTTATTATTGCTGAAGCAGTAATCTAGGACAAGCCTGTCATCTACTTTTTTGGCCTCATTTTTGTTAGAATACAATGAACAGACTTTTCCTGGTTGCAAAGATCAAAACAAATTCTGTTTTAAAACATGAACATGAACAACAACAACATGTGCCAAAAGCCAGCTGTCCCTTTTCTAGTCTTCTACCAGTTCTTTTTGAAAGCTCTAACCGGGATTTTATTTTTCCCTTTCTCTTATTTCATAGATTCTTCATTTGCACCTCTGTTTGAAGCCTGACACAAGGAAATAAAGGACATGATTCTTTACCCACCTTAGGATGGAGATAAAAATATTAAGGGACAGGTTTCATCAGTTTAATTTCTCTTTATTGGGCTGCTTGTTTTTTTAAAACAAAATAATAACAAATGCATTATAATTGTTATGATCAGCTGATTGACTACTATATGTACGATCAAGTCAGTATCAAGTCTTAGCAACCACATAGGTAAAATTTCTCCATAGTAATCTGACCTTTAACGTGGTCTTTCATGTCTTTCAATGGTGATTTACATGATTTACATGTGGTTTACATCATGGAAAACAGGATGTTGCACTTGGGAAGTTGTTGATCTGAAGCTCTGCTTGTGTTCTTACAAACTTGAATCCAGGCCTTAATAGTCATCCTTAGGATAATCTTTTGAGTATAATAAATTTTAACAGTCCAGAGAATAAAGAATTCAGCATTTGCTAATCACTCTCTTCTCTTTCCTGTCACCTTTCCAGCATGAAAGCTTTTCTAGAGGGATAAGCCTTTGCATAATTTGTTCAAAGTAGAATAATTTGAGACTGGTCATTTGTGCCTCAAGTGAGAACTCTGAGTTGATTTATTTAATGATTTGTTGTTTTGTTTTCTTGGCTATCCATGATATTCCCAGAAGTCTTCTCCAACACCAAAGTTTAAAATCATCAGTAATACTCTTCTTATTCTGCTTATTCAAAGTCCATAGGACAGGGGTATCAAACTCAATTTCATTAAGGGCCGCATCAGCATTGCGGTTGCCCTTGGGGGTGTGTGGCCAGGGTGGGTGTGGCCTACTGGGTGGGCATGGATGGAGTGGGTGTGGCCTACTAGGTGGGCGTGGCAAGCTCTATGTTGTTCACGCCAAGGGTGCCTGTGGGGGACAGATCTGAGGGTCTTTGGCAGAAGGGAGAGGGACCGGGGCAAGCGCCAAAGCATGGTCCACTGGAGGAGCCTCACTGTTCCTCCCAGGCCATGCGGGGGGGGGCTGGATGGTGGTGCGGACTGCCGGGAGCCCTGGGCAGCAGAGGTAAAATGCCCAGCCTGGCCCTCGAGCACCCATGGCACTAAGCCCAGCCCCACTTCCCCAAGGGGGCGCCCAGCTGCACTTACCTCCTCAAGGCTGCTGCTGCTATGCTTGCTCTCCTTACCCAGGTTGCTCATGATGGGTACGAGGGCAAGGTCAGAGGGAGGCCTATTCTCTCTCCATGGGAGGAGACCAGCTTTGTATCCAAAGCTTCCTTAGCAATAGGATGGGAGACCCCCAGGATAGGCCAGGAGGAGGGGGTAAGGGGATGGTGAAAGGGCAGCAGGGCAGAACTAAGCAGGACTTCCCTCAGACCCTCCCTTTCCTCAACGTTACCTGCACAATGCCGCCTAGCCCCCAGCCTGCCCGGTTTCGGCAGGCAGTGGGGGGGGGCTCTCCTCACAGCGCCAAGAGGTTGAGCCGGGAGGTGCGAAGCTCACCAGCTTTGTACCTTGCTACCTCCTGAAACTGGCCAGGCTGGGGTCTAGGCAGCATTGCACTTCTCATCAGTTTCGCACTACCAGGCTCAGCCTCTCGGCGCTGTGAGAAGAATCCCCCACTGCCTGCTGAAACCCCTCCCCTGGAGCCCATCAAGCCGGATATGTGAAGTAAGCAAAGGCCATTTGCTGGCCACTTCCAGGCAATAGTGCATTTCTTCATTTCTCATAAAGGGTGACACCTCCCCAGCATGTACCCAGAAAGCAGGGCCGATGCAGCAGGAGCTGGTTCCTCACTGTTTCCAGATGGCCTTGTGGAGCAAAGACTGAATGTGTTTCAGCATAGATGGCCACCATAAAATTGTACATTGGCTCCCGGCCGGCCTGGGCCAGGGCCAAGGCAGCGGGGGCCGTTCCCTCACTGTTTCCAGGATGGCTTCGCGAGCCACATGAAACCACTTCGCGGGCCACATCCGGTCCCTGGGCCTTGTGTTTAACATGTCTGCCATAGGATGACCTACAGTATGATAAAAAAATGGCAAAATACAAATCAGAATTATTAAACTGTAGCACCAAACTCTATTTAACCTCAAGAACATTTATTAGACATATGTGGAATCTAACAATCCATCTTGATGAGCTTGTTCAGCTTGTTGAAGGGTATTGCTTTCCCCCAGCCAAGCTGTGATCCTATATATGGGACTATGATCTATATATGCTTATGTAGAAACAGATTAAACATGTCTAGACCTGTTCTGTAAATTTTGTGAATTGTCTATTCTGATAATACAGTGACCAACACACATAGGTATATGCACAGACACACACACACACAAAAAAACCCACAACTGGTAAGCATTTGATCTGTTTTTTAATGTTTTTAGGCAATGAAGCCTGAATATGCAGGCAGTGAGAAAATCTCTAATATATTTTTACCATTGTTCGACTTCTATTTTGTGCAGCTTATGTCCTGATTCATTGTCATTGTGTTCTGACCTCAGTTTTGAAGATCAGTTAATATTTCTGATGGTCATAAGTGATTCCAGTTAAGCCAGCCTTAAACCTGGTCTGGCTGGTAAACATATACACAATTGCAAGCATGAACTCAGTTGCAGTGACTCTCCTCCCCTCCCCCCTCCAACAGGACCAGTTCAGAGTCAGTTTGATTTGTTGATGTAAATTGATATTTTAAAAATATTAAGGAAGGAAGAAAAGTGGGTAATGGTTGATGGGGGGGGGGAAAGGAAAGAGATTTTTAAACCACAGTTCAGTCCAAGAATTTCTAGCTACAAGCAAGTTCTTTTTAAAAATAATTAAATAATTAAAAAATTTTCTTCTTTATATCAGAATTCCTCAGTCATTTCAGTAAATAGCATCATTGTGCAAATCTATCACCTTATGTGGGCCTATCAAAGAAAAGTGCCTTTGAATTAATTGGAATTTACTCCCAGATTACTATATATAGGTTAGTATATCTTGCCATAGAATTTCCCCTTTCGAAAACAAGGCATATTTTCACAGATAAAACTTATAAAAACAAAAAATAAGCAATTATCTACCATTAGACTTCTTGTAATGTTAATTGGTCAATGAGATGTATATTCTTGTATTGCTTTCATGTTGGTTTATGACTCTTTTCTATATTTATCTTAAAACTTCAAAACAGTCAACCAGTGGAAGAGATTGCCTTCAGAAGATGTGGGAGCTTCATCACTGGAAACTTTCAAGAAGAGGCTGGACTGCCAACTGTCAAAAATGGTGTCAGGTCTCCTGATGGATGGGGGGGGATTGGACTAGATGACCTACAAGGTCCCTTCCAGCTGTTATTCTATTTTATTCCTAAATGTAATATGAAATGCTCTGTTGGCAATATGGGGGGAGCCTTTATGTCAGCCTAAAATTTGACCCACACTACAGCTTTTGCAAAAATACATTTGTAGTATGTAAAATAAAAAAACGAGGAAAAAAGAAACAAAAAAAACCAGGAGAATAGGGTAATATTGTATCAAATGAAAATGTTCTGCAAAAGGTTTTTATAGCATATTGAGAAAAGAGGTTTATAAAACAAAATGTTGAGGTGGGAATGTGTTTTAAGTATAGTATGCTGCTACTAAATATACAGGAAAATGTAAGAGCAATTGAGAAATGCATGGATGGAATTAGAATTTGGTGGCACAAGGCTAAAAAATCGAATCTATGCATTACAATACAAGCTACGGAAGCTCAAGCAGTCGCCACATTTTAGGCTAAAGTCACACTACGGTAATAGCATGTGACTCATACTATTATCTCAAGGACCAAGTTGTAACCTAAATAACAAAGGAGCCTCAACTGATGACTGTCAATGTCTTCACTGTAATTGCTTACATGAACTCCTCTCCCAAGTGCTATGATTTAAAATAAAAAGCCATTAAATGACTTTAATGCTTTGGTTTGTTGCAAAGCCTACAGAGGCAAAACTAGCTGTAATGAAAAATGGGGTGAATACACTTTCAATTCAGTGATGCAGATGATGAAAAGAGGAAGGAAAACTAGGCCTTTCCATTTGTACCATTGTTTAATGAGGATGATCTGTGACTGGTATGGATATTTTTCACTCACTGCAGTCACCATTATTGTATGCACAAAGTGTTTTTAATTGCTTTAAGAGAAATAGATTACCCAAAACTCTTTTGAAACCCTGAACCAAAACTTGTTCTGAATTATTACTTGAAAATGTGTTAGTTAATATTAGTTGGTTGCTAGATTCTATGACGGATGAACTGCCACACTTGTATTATGGTGCTTTTTTCATTTTTTTTTCCCTTCACAACTCCTGGCTCAATTTGACCCATTTTAAATTCAGTCTTTCTTTTGCTGGTATTTTCCCCTACAGACACCTTTGCTCCTTTCTGTTCACTTTTCAGAGACTTGTTCTGCCAAAAGACAGACAACTGAACAGAGTCTCACCCCCCCCCCTTTACATAATATATTTCCAACAGTTCATTAGGTTGGAAGAAATAAAAAGAAAATGATTAAAAATGGCCTCAAGAGACATGCATATCTATATATCCTTTGTAGCTTATATTTGGTCATTCTGCATAGTTTCTCGGTAAGAGGAATTCCCAGATAGTTCATAGTATCTTGCTCACTCCTTTTGCTCTTGTTTCAAGTGCTCCATTGCAATAAATATACTAAACCCATACCAATTCTTTATTAGCATGGCACCAGTACAAATCCAGCAGTCAAACTGTCACCCACAGGTCTAAAAATACAAACTTTTAGTTCTAAATCCAGTTACTTCTAATACTGAAAGTTTCCATGATGTCTGTTCAAGACTAAAACAGTTGCATTCTCATAAATTTTAGGATGAAGTGGCAAATAGGCCAGGAAGAAATCAAGATAAGAAACAATAATAAGAAAGCAGAAATACTTTATGTATCTAGGAGTTAGTATTTTTAAATGCAAGGTGCTTATTACTGAGCAGATACATACAGAATGACATTGTCTGCCATATTCTGTTCCTCTTTGGTAATCTGGAAGAAGCTGTTCAGGATTTCACAATACATGGCTGTGTTATTATTATGTCTATTTATAGTTTGACTTGATAGACAAGGGGTGTTCATAAAAACAAAAGCAGATTCTTAATAAAAATGAATATAGTCTGAACTACAAAAGTTGGAGATAATATTTAATTGTTCTTGAGCAGCACAATTTGAAAGTATTTAGCACCTTGATAGAGTTGTTTTCTATGAGAAATATTTAAAATGCTAATTGTATATATAGGATAGATTTAAAAAATAAATTTTGACATTAGAAAAAGACTGGACAGGTATAAGAGTGTAAATAACAACACAAATGTCTAATACTTAATCAGAGTGGGATATGTTAACCCATGAATGTAATATTTGGAATTCTTCTGGTTGAAGTTAATATTTTTAGAGGAAGAATTAAAAGATTAATGTCCAGACTGATCATTCATCTGTGGAACTTAATGGTTATTGCAAGCATCAACAGAGGGATAGTTATGATCACGGGAAGTGATATTACCACTTTCTGAGATGATGAGTTCACATTTGGAATACTGCATCCAGTTCTGCTCACCACAATACAAAAAAGATGCCGAGAAGAGCAACAAAGAAGATAAGGGAGATGAACAATTGAGGGAAGTATGTCTAGTCTAACAAAGAGAAGGACTAGAGATGATATGATAGTCTTTCAGTACTTTAAGGGGTGTCACCGAGAAGAGCGATTTGATCTATTCTCCAACAGCACCTGAGGGCAGGACAAGAAGTAAGGGATGGAAGATTATTAAAGAGAGAAGCAACCTAGAACTAAGGAGAAATTTCCAGACAGGGAGAACAATTAATCAACGGAATGACTTGCTTCCAGAAGTTGTGAATGCTCCAACACTGGAGGTTTTCAAGAACAGACTGGACAGCCATTTGTCCAGAATAGTACAGGGTCTCCTTCTTGAGTAACGGGTTGGACTACAAGACCTCCGAGGTCCCTTTCAACCCTATTATTCTATGTTCTAGCCATTATTCTCAGTGGATCTTCCATTATAGGGTTATTATATAATGAGAGCAGGCAGCAACTTTATACTTTGAATTGTGGGGGAAGTTGAGTGAAACAAAAACATAAAGATAACCGTTTATGATCAGGCATTTATGCTTTTTGACTTGAATTCTGGATTATGTTTTGTTTTTGTGCTCAACCTGATGAGCTATGCAACATTTCCAGTGTATAATTTTAAGCGTATACCATTTAATTGTAACCTCAGCTTCAACTGGTGCAATCTTTTACAGATACAAAATTGCTTATTTGTCATCCACAACTAGTTTTAATTCATGCTGCAATATTCCAAAGAAAGAAAGGCGTGAATACAACTTAAATTAAAAGCATCTTCCCAGCCAACTTATTCTTTTAAAAAAGGACAGCCTAACCTTATTCCCACACATGAATCTGAATTAATTTCTTGAGTAACAGCAGCCTGAACCTATCACAACAAACACAAGAGCAGACTATATTGCTATCTTAAAGATTAACAGATGTATTCTAGCACAAACTGTTGAGAGGCCCATCCCATTTTATTTTACAAAGAAATGAGTCTTTGTAAAATGGGTGAATAGATGGATGATATACCTTTAACGCAGTGGTTCTCAACCTTTTTAATGCTGTGACCCCCAACCAGTTGTAAGTCGAGGACTAAACCAGTCGTAAGTCGAGGACTACTCAACCGGTCATAAGTCGAGGACTTTCCCTGCTCAGGAACGCCACACATGTGTGGTACCGCCTCCTATGCCGGCCGAGACGTAGCTGGCAAGCGGCAGAGATGGAGCAGGCTGACCACCGGCTGGGCCACCAGCTGGCCCAGCCCAAGGGAGGTAAGGCACCCACCGGAAAAGGGGAAAAAAATGGCGGACAGCCTTGCTTGGCAACCCCCATGAAATGGTCGATCTACCCCAAATGGGGTCCCAACCCATAGGTTGAGAACCACTGCTTTAACGTATTTCAGTTTGGGAATACGGAACCGTTGACAAAATCCTGATTTCCTTGTGGTCTTTTGATAATAAGTAGCTGCAGTAATTATTTTTCAAACTATTAAACAGCGCTAGTGACAAGATACAATTTCTCTCCTGCTAGGCAAAGCCCTATTAATAGCCCCAAACAAGGCGCTTTCCCCTTCCCTCCCCCCTCCAGCTGCTTTGGCCATGTTCTCAAGGCGTGACTTTCCCAGTACTCACGTCACTACTTCCACCCTGCTGAGGTCACCTCCTATTAGCATATCAAGGAAAGCTCAACCAATCAGAAGCGAGCCATCTAGTGACGGCTGCAATAGCCAAGATTATTAAGAGTCCTGTTTGTAGTAGGAGCATGTCAAATAGAAGACGAGTGGCGGACGTGAGAGCAGCCTTCGCGAAATTCATCGTTAAGCAGTCGCTTCTACCGCAGGCGGGTCTGCCACGAACTGCCGGAGCGGCCAATTACTTCGTCGTTTCCGTGTTTGTCCCCTTTCTCTAAGCACTGCGGAGCCTTAAGGGGCACCGACCTAACTTTATACGAAGCCAGACATGAGCCAAGGCCAGCGCTGGAATGGAAGCTACGTTAACAACAGCCGGGCGGACATGGTACCGGAGATCGCCGCCGCCGTAGGCTTTGTGTCCAGCTTATTCCGCACCCGCGGCTGCGTTAGTGAACAGCAACTTCAGATTTTCAGTGAGGCTCTTGAAGAGGCGCTTACAGGTGAGAGACGGCGCCTCCTTGAAGTGTACCCTAGGGATCTTTGAAGGCCACGTCTGGGGAATCAAACTTAACTTTTCTGTCCCTAGAAAAAAGTGGGATAGTCACTGAATCGTTGATTTTCTTTTTCTTCTTTCCTTTCTTCCTATCTTTAGTTTAATCTGTGAATTTCCTTCTACCACACAAAATACTTATTTTCGCATTCAATTTTTGCCTTCCTTTGCATTGTTTTTTTTTTTTAAAATCTCCAATTATTCTTTAAAATATATTTTCCTGTAATAGGTACTCCTGGATAGCAAGCATATGTCTGACCCAGATTAGTGACAAATTATTTCCCCACCCTGCAACTATAATCTGTCTTTACCAATCTGTCTTTTCCCAACAGTATGAGACTAAGGAGAGCTATAATCCAGTGCTTTTAGAGGCACCACATTGGGGATTGCTGCACTGCAGCCCTGGGATTGAAAATTTGTGTCCTAAATTAGACTGGAAAAAAGTGTCTTTTGTTCTGGTGACCAAGGAAACTAGATTTTACTAGATCAAACTAGATAGAACAAGGAAACTAGCTTTCATAGTGGAAAGCGGCTATGCAGAGACATAAGGCTCAGCAAAACAAAAGGGAGAAATGTAGAGCATAAGAATAAATAGATCTTATGCAGACGAACCCTTAAGGATTTCTCTGGGGCCTGGTATGGCCAGTTGCAGAGAATTTGCATACTGGGCATTTTCTGAAGTTGAAAAGTGCTATTCTACAAATCATTTGAAGCCCTGGGATGAGAATGGAATGACTGTGTATTCAAGTCTTAAAAGTCATATCTGAAGGGTTCCCACACAACTCCCTTAAAAGCAACATTCCATTCAGCAGGCCTTACTTCCATGTCAGGGGAAAAGTGCAGAATTTCAGGCATGCAACTTAAGACTGCAGCTAAGTTTCAGTTAACGGGGGTCTCTCTTCATCTGGTTACACTATTGGGCTACTAAGTGTAAAATATACTCAGAAAGGCTTTATAACCAAATTTATTATGGGATAGAACTGTATACTTGAAGTGCAGATGAGATTGCTCTGGCTATATGCTAACTGCATTGTCTGCTAAGAAGATTTCAATAATTACCGAATGCCATGGCTATTGCATTTAGTTTAAACCTTTTGGACTCCCCCCCCCCCAGCTTTGGAGTTTTTGTTATTTGAATTTAAA